TAATGTCCCCCCAAGATGTCCGTGTCCTAATCCCTAAAACCTGTGTGTATGTTACCCTGCATAGTAAAAGAGACTCTGCAGATTTGATTAGGTTAAAGATTATGGGATGGAGAGACTATCTTGGATTATCTGAGTGGGCCCAATGTAATCACAAGGGTTCTTAATAAGGGGTAGGCAGAAGTATCTGAGTCAGCGACATAGGACCAAAAGCGGAGGTCAGAAAGGAGAAGATGCGACTCTGTTGGCTTTGACGACAGCAGAGGGGCCTGTATGCCAAGGTGTGCAGCTAGCCTTCAGAAGCTGGAAAAGGCAAGGAAACATTCTATAGAGCCTCCAGAAGGAATACGGGCCTACCTATAGTTTGTTTTTAGTCCAGTGAAACTGATTTCATACTACTGACTTTCAGAACTGTAAGATAAATTACTGTTGTTTTAAGCCACCAAGTTTGTGGTAATTTGTTGTGGCAACCATAGAAACTAATAAATGTGTCATAGTTTAAAGAGAAATGGGCAGAGATTTCTTTTTTCCTGTCCCTACTTTTCGAGGAGGGAGATCTCAATTTAAACTCTAGAGGAAAGATTTATTTCTTTATATAGCTCTCTATTCCTAATTCAAGGACTGTTTAGACAGTGCCCCAGTAAAGTGGTTTCAGGGTAGGGGTATACAAAGACACTCAGTAAGGAGGTAAAGGGTTCATGAAGTGTTAGTTTTGCTCAGATTTTTTTTGTGTTTTTGAAAACCACTTTTAAATGCACATGGATGTATTAAAGAAAACAATGTGCAGTTCTTAGAAAATTTAAAAAATAAACCATGGGAATGAACTCTCTTGTAGGCCTGTCTTTGGGAACAGGTTTCACCTGTTCCTTACTTAAGTGAGAAATAATAAGCACAGAGTACATTAGTTATTCATGATCATATGCTGTTACCCTAAAACTTAGTTAAAAGCAACATTTGTTGCATCACAGGTTCTGTAGGTAGAATCTGGGTATGGTTAGGTTAGTTGGGTGCCTCTGGTTCAAGGGCTGACAATGCTGTGACCAAGGTGTGGGCCAGGGCTGTGTTCTGGTCTCAAAGCTTGATTTGGGGAGGGTCTGCTTCTGAGAGCTCTCACAAGGTTGTTGACAGAACTCAGTTCCTTGTGAGCTACATTGGATTGAAGGCCTCAGTTCCTTGCTGGGTGGAGGCCTCCCTCAGTTCTTTGCTACTTGGGCCTCTCTCCATTTGCAAGGCTGCTGGTTTCTGTCAAAGTGAGAGAGAAAGCACGAAAGCCCAAGTCTGAGACAGAAGGCACCGATTTTTCTTGCAATCTCAGAAGTGACATCACTTGTGTCATATTCTGTTCCTAGAAGCTGGTGACTAAACCAAGCACACTCCAGGGAATGATATTATACAGGAATGTGAATACCAGGAGGCAGGGATCACTGTAGGCCATTAGTTTGGGGCTTAGGTAGATGCCTTATATTTGCTCTACCATTAATACCTACGTAAATCAGTTGGCCTAACTTCTAAAATTATTTTTCTTCCCAGATTTGTGTAATATCAAATTATCAGGGTTGTTTTGAGGATTAAATGAGGGCATAGATGTATATAAAATGTTTGGAGCCAGCCTCAGTGGCACATGCCTGTAGTCCTAGCTACTTGAGAGGCTGAGGTGGGAGGATTGCTTGAGCCCAGGAGTTTGTGACTAGCCTGTGCAACATAGCAAAACTCCATCTATCTATTTAAAAAAAATAAAAAGTTTGGCATATAATAAGTTCTCCAAAAGATAGCTATTGTTTTGAAAAAATAATAGTGGTCACTGAGCCCAGATACGATTTTTTTTTTTTTGAGACAGTGTCTCGCTCTGTTGCCCGGGCTAGAGTGCCGTGGCATCAGCCTAGCTTGCAGTAACCTCAAACTCCTGGGCTCAAGTGATCCTCCTGCCTAAGCCTCATGAGTAGCTGGGACTACAAGCACGCGCCACCACATCTGGCTGATTTTTTCTATTTTTAGTAGAGATGGGGTCTCGTTCTTGCTCAGGCTGGTCTCAACTTCCTGAGCTCAAGCGATACTCTGGCCTCAGCCTCCCAGAGTGCTAGGATTACAGGCGTGAGCCACCACGCCCGGCCTGATTTTTTTTTTTAATTAGGTGTTTGACTTATTCAAGGTCCTAATTTTGACATTCTGAGGATCGATTTTTTTAAAGTCCCTAATGTAAAGCTTCATAGTTTGAGGTAATTCAGGACATTTGAAAAAGATGCATGAATAGTCTATGCTTTCTGGGAGGGAAAAGTCTTTCTAAGCTAAACTTATACACTATAGTTATGATTTATATATTTAAGAAGATATTCTTCATAGATGTTTGTTCATGTTTGATGTTGATGTGGTTTGATTATATAAATTGATTTACTTTGCCTTCTCCATCTTTTTTTTTGAGAGACTTTAAATCATTTCTTGAATACAAAAACTACTATAGTCA